TTACGGTGTCGAGTTTTTTTTATTTTGATTATTTTACAGACGGTAGGGCTCCTTGGACGAGTGATCAGCTCGTCGCAAGACCTCTACCTAAAAACAGGAAAACACAAACACAAAATAAACACATACACATACAAAACATCCATGCATTGAGTGAGATTCGAACCCACGATCCCGGCTTCTGAACAAGCCAAGACGGTTCATGCCTTAGACTCCTCGGCTACAGTGACTAAAGTGTAAATGACTAGACCGTTCGCCACTATGATGGCTGACGCGGGGTTAAGGACCCTAAATGTTGTCAAACTCGTAACATTTTAAGTCCAGACGAATAAAGTAAATGTGACGGAGTGTCACGTGAGATAGCGGAAAGCTTTCATGTCATATTCGGAACATCAATCTTGAGATCAGGTTCAGCTGCACGCGACGCTCAGACACAAAGTTTCCGCACTCAACTCTAGAGACACATCAGACTAACCCGTCAGAAAACAGTGGTCACTCTTATAGCCTTCCATCTCTTTTAACTGTCTAGCATTCTAATTTTCCCAGCATAGTGGTGTAATGTGTTATGATTCTCAAAGTTAAACAGCAATCATTTCCCTAAGCAGTATCGACTGGCATTTTTATAGAACCATTTATTTTCTGTGAGCTGAACACTAATTCTTAACCTACTTTCTTTATTTTTTAAAAAAGTAGGCTTATCAGATCGCCTTGCTGTCTGTGTGTCTGTAAGTGTATCGCCCCCTAATAACATCAGAATACCTGAACCAATCCTTATGAAACTTATTATGTATATCATGGTATCCGAACACATCTCAACGGTGTGATTCATAAATCCTTGTCATCAGTAATACAAATACACACCCTCTCAAATTTCTAAGACAAAGCCTTAATATTTCTTCAACGTCTGTACTAGTCTTCACAAAACTTGTTATGTGCACATGAAACCATATCAACGATATAACTCATAAATCCCTTCCATCAGTAATACCAACATTACAGCCAATCAAATTACTGAGGCAAGGCATTCATATTGCTTGAACGCCTGTATTAACCTTCATAGCTCAAGCGGTTAGTCACTGACTTCCCACCGCGGCGACCCTTATTCAAACACCAGTCTGGTCCAGTGGGATTTGTGGTGGACAAAGTGGCGCTGGGGTAGGTTTTCTCCAAGTACTTCGATTTCCCCTGCCAATCTTCATTCCACAAAATTCTCCATAATAATAAACACCCGGGGCAGATACAATAGTGCACCCAATTGTACTTCACCCCCCACTATGCGAATTAAAAAAAACCTTCATGAAACTAGGTGTGTATATATCATGCCACCTGTTGCCATATGACCGACATATATTACCAGCTCTTCCCATTATTAATACCACCACTACAAACGCTCAGATTATCAGGTAATAATCTTAATATTACCTGAATTCCCGAAACAATCTTCATGAAAGTTGGTAAACGTATCATTACATCTGAGGCCGTCCCAATGGTGTACTTCATGAATCACCGCCATCAGTAATACCAACACTGAAGCTTCCCAAATTTTATTGTGCTATTCACTTCATTACGCATGCGCGGTACATGCTACAATTTCCTTTCACCTTTTTGTGTCAGATACTCAAATTACAGCGAAAGTAAAGTAGACGAATAGTTCTTCCCACAACTTCTTGCTAAATATTTAGATGAACTTTGGGATTTAAAGCGTTAAAGAATGAACATATTACCAACTGAAGAAACAAAACAAATAAACAACTTTATCTACACTTCGCAAAATTTGGCGCTTGAAATTTATAAGCGTACAGCCTCAGCCATATAACAGTAGCCTGTTTAGTGGTGAATTCGGTTAGGGTGTCCGGAGGCGCAGTAGAGACGAATGGAAATACACTGAGTCCTAACTTCACAGGCTTGCCAAAAATGTTTGCATTCTTAGTTATATACCAAATATTTTCAAAATTTTAAGAGCTTCCGTCAGAATTTTACATAATTTCAGTTATAATTTTCTTGTGTGTACTTCTCTGAGCACGTAACGTCCACCGCGATGAACACAAAATAAAATAAATATTGCTTCACCCTTCTTTCAATCTTATTTTTTTCCCCCCCATATTTCTTTCTTTCTTTCTTTATTTTATCTTGATTTGTTCTGTCCCCCCTCCTTTTCTGTTCTTCTCTTTCCGTAATTTCCACCCCTAATGTGAGTTTATATATGAGAGTATAATTAGAATGATCAAGCCAAGGAGGATAAGGTGGCCAGAGCATATAGCACGAATGGGGAAGACGAGGAATGCGTATAGGATATTGGTGGGAAAGCCAGAAAGAAAGAGACAACTGGAAAGACCAAGGCGTAGGTGGGTGGACAATATTAAAATGGATCTTAGAGAGGTAGGATGGGATGATATGGATTGGATTGATCTGGATAGGGACCAGTGAACGGCTCTTGTGAAGGCTGTAATGAACCTTCGGTTTCCATATAATTCTTGGAAATTCTTGAGTAGCTGCAGAATTGGCGGCTCCTCCAGAAGGCTCAGCTCCATCATTAAGTAAGTAAGTAATGTGAGTTTATTACGCGTCACTCAAACCCCTTTTTGCTTTGCTTCTACAATTCCATGAATTTTCAAAATATTCTTTGTCCTTTGATTTAGTTTCACTTAGCGCTTCTTCCTTTTAAGTTTATTCCTCCTCTTGGATTTTCTCTTCATTTTCCTTGTGTCTCGAAGACTCGAAAAGCCAATGAAAATTTTGCGAGATACTCACGTCGCTTCGTAATTTAACAAGATTGATGTAAGTGTAATCCATAATGTGCCAACAGCGTTTTTTAAGTTTTTAAACCTTACTTAGAAGTGCAATAATGAACTGCAATTTAATGAAAGCCTTTTATAATGGTTGTTAACAAAACCTGTGGATGTGTGTTGCGGGATACATGGAGAAGTCCATTAACAGAATTACTTAACTTAGGCTTCATTATAGAACAATATATCTGGAAATTGAAACTTCTCAGCGTCTAATGGAAATGTCCCTTAGTGATTACCAAGAAAATCCATCCAGTGGTTTACGTATCGACATTACGTCACATGCAGACAGACAGACATATGATTTCAATGATAGTCATTCTTTTGAAGAGACACATCAAAGTTTGGAACTTATGTCTCTGAGCGAACGGTATGTTCCAAGCCGATTGCGAGGGATGGGTAATTCTGATTAATGCTCACCCGCTTCCCAGGTGAACACCGTTGTTCGTCAATAGAAGAAAGGTCTGAGTGAGGTCAATGTCTCTGTCACAGTGTAACAGATGCCTACTTTGGGATCCTTAAAACGTCTGTTGAAGTTTCACTCAGTGAAGTCTATAATTGCCTGATACATCTCAGACTTATTTATATGCATTGTGAGCCTCTATAAATATATTACGCAATAACGAAGAAACTTGTGGCCAACGGTTTGTCACATTTGGGACGTATATAATTTTACCGTCAAAATCATATTTGAATATTTTAATAAATTCGACATATAGGCTAATATCTGAAGCCGGAATAGCTCGGTCGGTATAGAGACGGGCTACGGACTAGAAAGAGAGGGTTTCGATTCCCTGTAAGGGCAAAATATATTTTTTATTATTTAAACTTTGGTGAAGTTATAATTTTACGGAAAAAAGTCATAGTGGGTCCTTGGAATCTACAACTTTCGGTGTGAAAGTAAAAAATTAAGGATGAATATATGAAATTTTGTAGAGGTAGAACGTAAATTATTGTGTTTTAGACGCATTTCACATATTAAAAATGGCAAAGATTACAAATTTAACTTCGTGAAATTCGGCAGCAGTGGAAATGTTGCACAGAAATGGATCGCTTCGGCGTGGGAAGAGTTTTCTCTGTTCCAGGGCATCACGTCATGAAGACGTAAACTGGCGAGTGCTGGATGGTGTAGAGTGGTCAGTTAACGCTCCGACCGTTTTATTCCCAAGTAAAGGGACCCCTGGTACGCATTGAATGGGAGACTAAACTGACTTCAAATCCGCTCTTAATGTGGCAGTGAAGCAAAAAATAAAAAATCCTTGCCGGGAATCGAAATCCAGTCGTTCAGCTAGTAGTTAGTAATTTTTTCTTATCTGCCAAGGCAACTAATTATTTTCTTGTATCATTATACATTATAACTATTAATTTCCAGATCAGAGAATATCTGCAGTAAACTACTGGCTCCTCAAATGGAGTCTTCTCCTCGGAGATGATTAGCTGATAGTGCTAACTTGGTACAATATTTATGTACGGTTCTGTATTTCAGCATCCTGTTGCAAAATTTTAATTAAAACGTCTCCTTATCCACAGTCCGTCAATAGTGCAACAATTGTTTATTCACAATTTAACATTTAACACAACATGTTTCGGCCATAGATGTCCATCTTCAGGTGTCTTAATGTATCGAAACTGTTACACTATTGTAGTGTGCGCTAAAACCGCACGCTGCAATCCATTTAAAAATAACATAAAAATAAATAATTAAAATCCATCAAAATTTTTCATTTTGTTGTAAAATCCTCTTCCACCTCATAAGGGGCGTCATCCATTTGTTTAGAGCTATATTTTAGCGCACATCAGACCAGTGTAACAGTTTCGATACATTAAGACACCTGAAGATGGTCATCTATGGCCGAAACATGTTGTGTTAAATGTTAAATGGTGAATACATAATTGTTGCATTATTGGCGGACTGTTGATACATAGGCGTTTTAATTTCTCTACAGGTTGATCTAGCTACAAAGCTCTAGACTTTTATTAGGGAAGCACTTTTTCCTAATTTCGGAAGGGACACCTGATATCCTGACAGGGTTTCCCCTGATCTCCCTGATCTGTTCAGGAAAATGTCAGGAAGTGCCTCAATGTAGCTATGTCAACTGCCTTCTAGATCCTCCCAACCATTTATTCATCAATCTACATATCGAGTCTGTGACGCTGGAAACGCCAAATTGTAACCTACAAAAATGTTTCACTACTTTTTACAATAATAACCGGATATTAGCTGTATCAGAAAATGTATATATTTGCTTTTACAGATATAATTGTAATCTACATAACTCAAAGAGTTCTCCAAGGTCTGCGAAACATGAAGATATCAATTTATGACTCGATTCAGAGTCCTTGTCGAACTAGATGTAAATTTTCTTAAATTTGAGAAGCAGATGTTAGAACCAGTGCCTCCTTTGGATCCAGCGTGATGTCACTCCTAGAGACGGAAGCCCTGAAATTGAACACCATAATGCGATACAGTATCTGTGACATTAAAAGTGAGTGTCATATCTTAACTTGAGCGTAATTCTGTATCACAACATCCCGCGTTTTAATTCAATGAGTATTGTGTTCATAGTCCTTTGTTACGCAATATTAGTGATGATTTACAACAGCGTAATTCTATGGATCGTTGACAGTATTATCACTGTAAACTTGTTGGCGCCCTGATGTTTGCACAACATATTTCGGACATCATTTAACTATCATCTGATATGTTTGTTTAATACTTAAGCTGGTACATTGTGCATGCTGTCAAACTGTCAGTAATGTTACAATTCCGAATTTTTAGCCTTGGTTTTAGAAATTGGTCAAATGTCAACCTTACGGACAACTTTCACGAACATAGTGTGTGCAGCTTAAATATCAAATAAAATATATCTGATACTATCAAATAATGACCAGACATACACAAACAAATATCACATTGTCAACAGATTTACAATTACATACTAGGAACGATTAACAAAATATAGTTATAATATGTACATCACTGACGGGTTGCATAAAATAGAGGACAGTGAACGCAATACTAAACACTCATATTTTGTTGCATCCTGTTCCGTAAATCACGATAGATAATATTTATATAATTCCTGTAAACATAACATTATTTCCAGCAGGATTTCTGTCTGAGACCGCATGTTTCGGCACGTGAACACACCAGTGGCTCCTCTCAATGTACGTGGAATATTTACACTAAGTACATGACACATAAAAAAAAACACCGTGGTCTTAATCCGCAAGCGAATTATACCGACCGACCGACCGACCGCCGCTTGTCGGCGAAGTTAGTGCTATCTTTAGCGGAAAGAGGGTGACGCCTTGTCAGCGCAACGAATCTTCACGGCCGTTATTTTCGGTCTTCTTGATCGGAAGATGAGACAATAATTGTAACTAAAAGCCGGACCTGAAGATGGCACACATATTCTGAAACATGTATTACTAGACAGCATACTTTACCTGCTGCAAACAGTGTGGTGTTTACAGGAATAAAACAAATGTCTATACATTACTAAGCGATATGCTGCTGTAATAGTCCAAAATTTCTCATCCTATTCTTCTTCCTGAAGGAAAAGGGATGATTATGAGATAGCCATTCTCTCTGCATGAATATGTGAGTCCCCTAATAACTTTCTGAACAAAGTTATTGCAAGTAAATGTTATATGAGCGTTATGTCAATTCATTGCCAACAGTGGGAACTTGGGGACGCACTGCGCATGCTTACTTACCCTGCCACTCGGCTGGAATATATACTAGCAACGTCTACCACGAGATTTTCTGGAATATCAGCGAGGGCGTCTAGGTTCACATGTTCCGTTTCTGACCCCAAGTTTATGACGACTACGATGGGGATTTTCCCGCTGAGCACCCTGGAAAATAAAGTTTTCAATGTAAAGCAGCACCATCTGACAGATGACAAGGATTCGCCATAAAGTTATCAGGAACTCAATGGATACTTGACTCTTAGCTCATTTGACTCTTTAAAGCAGGGATATTCAAACTCTGGGACACACCGATCCCCTAATGCAATACATTTGTAGGTCTCCCATTTCTGCCGGTCAGCGAAAAGTGCACTTTCATATACAGTTTCCTATCAGGCTTACGGGAGCAGCAGGAACCCGAATCACTTCACCCCCTACAGTTGGCTACAAAATTTCCTTCTAAAGTTACGAAATATTTTACAAGTGTACAGGTTCCAGAGATTGAAGACACCGCTAAAAGGCTCCTGTTTTGCTAGCCGCAAGGACATCATACAAAACGCGACGGCGTAGCTGCACGCCATTCCAAAAGAAGCCCCCCAGAATTGCTTCCAGCGATGGAAGGCCCGCTTGGCTAAGTGTGTAACGTCACAAGGGGCCTATTTTGAAAGGGATTAGGTATTGTAACCACCCAGATACAGAACTTTGTTTTCCCGGCCCAAGGTCTTATAATTTTTGGACTTTCCGAAAGCACCCATATCGACCGCTCGCCAGCGTGTTGTCTAGCGAGTCCCGAACTCACAACACAAAAAATTATAGGAACCGGAATATCTCAGTCGGTAAAACGGCTGGCTAAGTGCTCAACAAGCAATCGGGGGACATTCCCTCCGGGAACAAGAGATTTTTCTCCTTCCAGACTCGTCCTGGGGCCCAAGTAGCTTCCTATTCAGTCGGTATCGAGGCTTCTTTCCCCGGGGATAGAGCGCCGGGGCGTGAGCTGACACACACATCCATTTAGTACCTAGTTTAAGAATATATGGATCTATACATCTACTCCTCCATACGTCTTCACGGCGTAATGCATAATTAATTAAATGCAAGGAGAGTATTTTCTTCTTTCACTTTTATTGAATTTTGCTGATTTACCAAAACTGCGTGGATATAATATGTACTTCAAAATCATTTTTAGATATCTGCGACCATAGCAGAGCAAGTCGCGAACCTAAGGCCGGTTGAGGAACTGTTCTTTAAACTGCAGTATCTTTACGTATATCCTACCTACGCTAATATACACAAACTTGTCATTTTATCACAAATAATATTTACATGTCTCAAAATAAACAGGAAATTTGTCCATAAAAAGCCGGACCCGATTAGTCTTTGTAACTAAGACACGGTATGTTGACTGTGAGGTAAATATTGATTTTTTAAATTTTTTATTATTGCATGCATTTCTGGCACCAAAATTTGGCGTCGCTTCCTCAACAGTAAATTATACAGAACGTCTAATTTTAATATGACTGTGGACGCAGAACTCAAGGTACGTTGAAGGGAATTTGCGTGTCTTATTAATATAATAGGACACCAGGTTGTGACCTCAGTCACCGTACAGATTGTGGTCTTCTGCGTTATGACAATGTGTAGTCCTGCAGGCGTAAACTAATCTTTGGAAGAACATGGCGGTTCCACATCTTGAGCAGAAGGGCAGCAAAGCAATGCGCGCACTTATCCTATAGACCGGAATTCGGCATTGGAACCTTCCAAGTGCGAAGTAGGTGTGCTAAGTTTTGTAGGAGACCAAACAGCCCTTATTTCATCCTTTCTGCTGTTGTCACTCTGGTTCTGAAGATCGATTTTTGTTCATGCATGAATCGCTGTAGACTTCACGTAGTATTGAGTTTCTTTAGCTGGATAGTGCCGAACGAAAAGGCCGCGCCATAGCTCAAGCGGTTAGTCGCTGGCTTCCCACCGCGGCGGCCCGAGTTTTATCCCTGTTCTGGTCAAGTGGGATTTATGGTGGTCAACGCGGCGCTGGGGTGGGTTTTCTCCGAGTACTTAGGTTTCCCCTGCCAGTCTTCATTCCACCAAATTCTCCATCATCATAATCATCCAGGGCAGGTACAATAGGCCAATCAGTGGCCGCCATGCAGAGTGGACCCAGCTGGACTCCACCCCCCACTAATACTGAACGAATAAAACCTTCAAAGAATCTAGAATAGCACGAAATTTTCGTGCTGCTGAGAACTTATGCATAGAACTGTAACTGTTCTGTCTCCCGTTTTCTACCCATGACCTAATGCAGAACAGCCAGAGATATCATGAAATTTACTCTGAATTCTTGCCACCGCGTATCTTAGCCACAGCTGTTAAGGCCGTGTGCGATCATTGCTCTGGAGTTCTCGGAACAGATTCGAATCCTCAACCCACAGTCTCTGTTTTCATTACGTGAGTAAACTTTAGTTTCTTAATTTGAGTGTTTATTCTGTGTGAAAATTTTCATCTACTATATACACAGTGACGCTGACAAGGAGAGCGACAGTATCACAAGCGAATGATTTCTCTTTGTTCCAAGTATAAGATTTTCTGACCTAATAGACTTGAAAGGGTTCTGACGATGATGTATGCTGTACAGAGCTATAAGGCTTATTTTGGACTCTATCCATCGTCTCTGGGTCCAGTGATTGAGACTTACTTACTTACTCATGGAGCTGAGCCCTTCTTGAGGAACCGCCAATTCTGCAGTTACTCAAGAATTTCTCAGAATTTTATGGAACCCGAAAGTTCATTACCGTGTTCACAAGAGCCCTCCACTGGTCCATATCCTGAGCCAGATCTATCCAATCCATACCATCCCATCCTATCTCTCTAAGATCCTTTCTAATATTGTCGACCCACCTACGCCTTGGTCGTCCCTGTGGTCTCTTTCCTTCAGGCTTTCCCACCAATACCCTACACGCATTCCTTGTCTCCCCATTCGTGCTACATGACCTTCCCACCTCATCCTCCTTGAAGGAGTGATTGTGACTAGCTCTTTCTAAGTGGCCCAACTGAGTAGGTCTATCTTGCCCCATCCACCTGAGGACGGAGACAGATCCAGTCTCCGAAACGTTGTAGTTTTTTATCATCTATATACCAGACGATGGATAGAGTCCAAAATAAGCCTTATAGTTCTGTTTCTGACCTGATGTTTCAGTCGAGAAATAGCCACTCCTGCCTGCTCCTTATACAGGAAGACTCGGGTTCTAATCCCTCTGAGAGATCGGACATTCTGAGGTTCGCCGTGAAGAATATTACCTACTTTGATATAACGCCGTGTAGTCCGTTGAAAGTCAATTGACGTTTCGGAAGAACATATGGTCACCTTATACAGAATTTGCCACCTGCTTTCAAGCTGGAATGGAATGGAATCGATATGTTCCTCTGAGGCGTCCGTTGACTTCCAACGGACTACATGGCGTTATTCCATAAGACAGGGCTGTGAGAACCTTAAATCCTACAGAAGTTCATTTTATTTATTCTGTCTCTCCAGAAGGCCGGTATTTCTCGCAGCCTTCTCATTTCATCGCTCAAAATATGCTTGCAGTTTTAAGATTATTGTCTTCTGGGGTAACACCCATGCAAGTTTATAGATGGATACAAACTTTTCGGAGCAAACTGCTGCCTCCAGTAATCTTCATAGTCACACCCCGAAGTATCTCAAACCTCATATTCTACTGCTCGACACTGTATAACAATGCAGTATCAGAGCTTCATTATACAATTTAAGAAATATATTAATATTTAATATAAATCTATGACTTACCTGCTGAAAGCAAACACTTTTTCTGAAGCGGGATAAGTTTGGAGACTTCCTCTCTGCACAGTGGGTTGCTTGCGAAGCTCTATCAGGCGCTGGTATACTTTGTAGTGGCTCACAGGGGCCTCCTTCTGAGCCGCAAGATTCAGCTGATGGTAGTTGCTATTTACGGGTAGCCATGTACGGTTACTTGTGGAGAAGCCTGCAGATAAACCAGCAAACTGAATCAAGCCGTAATGCTACTGACGTAAAGGGAATTCGACTGATTGAAATTGTCGTAGGTTCTCCTCAGCCCCTTGGGGCAGATGGCGAGAATGTCCCTGAATTGAGCTGCCCTCCCAATTGTTTCGAACTCATTATCCGCCTTGCAGTCCGAGCTATTAACAGCGTTGTTAAACAAACCAACGGCAGTCCACATCAAGTCCATGTGTTATACTGATGATAAGCACGAATATGTCGCTATTTTTCTTCATGTTTCAGGATTCTGAGGTTCTCTTGGTGGGGACTCTAAACACTGGTGTATTCTAGGATGTGACCCCGTGTAGTCTGGTTTATGTTTACACACGTTTTGGAGAAGTATCCTGCCTACATTTTGATGAATGAAGATGAAAGCAAGTTCCTCCGAAACTTCTGCAAATATATAACGGACTCCAGTGCATCGCATCCCAACATACTAGTTTTATCATACCTTGTATTTATATAAGCTTTTGGTGTTAGTCTGCGCATTATAATTTATAGAAAAAATTAGAAGGAATAGCTAAATTGTAGGAACAAACAGCGACAGAGCGAGGGTATTGAGATATATTAAAACACTCACTTCATGGAGCAGATTATTTCTTTAGAAGCTAATAGTTGCTCAACTACTCGAAAAATTCCCTGCATTTTTTGCAACACATACTCCATTACCCTTTTCAAAAAAGCCCGCCCCTGGTCCCTGTTCTGAGCCAGACGAATCCAATCTACATCATCATACATTATTACTTTAAGATAAATTTTACTAATATCGTACCATCTGCAGCTAGGTCTTTCATGTGGGCAAGTTCCTTCTGGCTTTTCTACCAGAATTTGTGTTTGTTTATCTTTCTTGACGTGGTTTGATCATTCTAGTGAACAATGCATGTTAAAGCATGGAAGAAGCTTGATAATATTATGCGAACGGTTGAGCAAGAACTTTCAGCATTACTGTACTTCATAAGTTGCGTATTTCTAAATTTGTAGAGTTGCATTTTAATTGAAAATGTCCTGGTACACTGTTTTAGGACCAGCACACTAAATATTCATTTAACAGCCTTCTGGATATAGCTCCGTGTCAGGGAATAAGTAGACTAAAGCTACCAAATTTTATGACATTTCTTGGTACAGTACTCCGATTTTCCATGAAATTAAGATTTTCCATAGTTATTTTAGCAGTTCCCCATTGATGGATCCATATTGGAACCAACTACGTGTACACTGTCGAAGTTCTGAGGAACCTCTCTCTTCCTCGACGTATTGCTATGGCTACAGGAACCTGCTACCTCTCTTTCTCGACACGTAGTCTTACCTATGATGACAGCAAATGATGACTGTTATACAGTTGTCTCGAGGCCGTCCCATAGCTCAAGCGGTTAGTCGCTGGCTTCCCACCGCCGCGGCCCGGGTTCGATCCCGGGTCTGGTTAAGTGGGATTTGTGGTGGACAAAGTGGCGCTGGGGCAGGTTTTCTACGAGTACTTCGGTTTCCCTGCCAATATTCATTCCACCAATTGCTCCACAATCACCCTCACCTATCATCTGGTGCTGGTACAATAGGCCAGAAGTGGCCGCTGTACAAGGGACTTAGTCCCACCCCATTAGCAATAAAAAAAATACAGTTGTCTCAGTCACCTTTAAAACTCCCCTTTATTAGAAGCCGAAATGCAGCATGAAAGTGCCCCACTGAATTCACTAATTCGGGGAAAGGAGTAGGAACAAAAAATGAGAGAATTTTATGGAAGAAAATACAAATTCCCGCTTTTGTTGGACAAAAATAATCGTTGTACTCTTAAGATTACTGTATCGAAGAGTAATTCTCAATCAAATATTTTCTTTTGCTGCATTTAAAATTCAGAATCATGTTTTGTAGCCACATAATTTAACACATATAAATTTTCACATTCAAAGCAAATCATATCGAGACGAATCTTAATTTGTAGCATAAAGCGGAGAGTGAAGGAGATGATATTACATTAATTTGCAGCAGTTTACTGAATGGGGGTACCCTGCACGGACATTCTTTCACAGCTAAACAGAAGCAGATTATGTTGTCATCATTTTGCTATTGTTTTTCAAAAAATGAAGGGTTTCGGCCACGTAGAAGAACCCTTTATCATCCTCGTGAAAATATTCAAAGAATTTACAGAAGATACGGTGCAAATTTGTCTCAAAAATATGAAAAATATTTTAGTAAAACAATTTACATATTTCATTTCCTTGGCACTACAGCCCCAGTGGGCCTAGGCCTACCTCCATGAACTTTTCCGTTCACTTCAGTTTTTCTAGATGTTACACATTCGGTAGGACTCCTTGGGCGGGTGATCAGCTCATCGAAAGGCCTCTACCTATACACAAACTAAACATCCATGCCCTGAGTAAGATTCGAACCCACGATCCCGGTTTTCAAGCGAGCGAAGACAGTACATGCCTTAGACCGCTCGGTTACCGTGACCGGCTAATTTACATATTACTCATTAAAAATCTCGTTGCCACGGTGACTAAATTTCATATTCGCTGCTCTGGACTACACGGCAACCACACACCAGACAGAAGTCTTTGTGTGGGAACCTCAGTTATTGCAACCACTGTAGCCACATGTAAAGAAACATGTTGCTACTACTGACGCCAGCGTCGCCTGACCTGAATTGAAGGTGTCGTCCCATTGAAAGGGTGTCCTCTCCGGGTCCCGAGAGAATAACTCGTATCTCTCCGGACCGGCATTGCGTCCTGCTGGGTCCACAGTATCGCTGAAGCTGATATGCGCGTCCACCATGCCGATCTCTTCGCCGTTGTACGTAATACCTGACCCAGGTAACAGCTGAGCCAACATGTTGAGGCCGTCCACCAGCTCCGGACCGTACCGACTGGCTACGCGATGTTGGTCGTGGTTCCCGATCTGAAAGAGACACTCTGCTGTGAGGCGCGCAAATGACACTACGCTTGGCATCGTAACTACAAGTTGATGTAACAGCAGGGAAACCTAAGGTTCATTTCTTTGTTCAAAATGCCCACCATAGCAGCACAATTCAGTCCGTACCTCACTCTCTCAATAGAAAGCGGTATAAATGTGTTTATTAGCACATCATATCCGTCTACCTATCTTCATGTAATAAATCGGGAACTGCTGGGGACAGTGCTATTCGAATTTTGTATAAAATAAGACAACAATAATTAAGTAGTTACTATAGGATTCTGACGATGGTGTATAACACACAGAGATATTGGGTTTTCGGACTTTATCCATCGTCCTGGTTTTTAAGATACCGTATTTACGCATGTATAGGCCGCACATTTTTTGCCAAAATTCGAGAGGAAAACTGGGGTGCGGCTTATATTCGAAATATTCGAAATCACACTTCATTTAAAAAAAATATATTCATAATTAGTAATACAGGGTGTTCAAAGATCGAGGAAATTCCAAGAAAATTATTTTTTCTATAATTTCTGTCTGAAAATTGTGCTGCGGCCTATACACGCACGCGGGCTATACATGCGTAAATACGGTAACTAAGAAAAACACGACGTTTCGGAAACTGGATCTGTTTGCGTCCTCAGGTGAGGTAAAACACCTATTCTGTTGGGTCCCTTAGAGAGAGCTAGCTTCAATCACTGGACAACCGAAGTCACAAAACACAAATGAAAATGAACAGATACAAGGAAGAGAGGACGATAACCGAGGCTACCGGTGCGCTGATGGGAGGCAGTGACCCTCAAGAGGGACAGAATATTTTTCAAGGGAAATACGTGAGGTCACTTTTAGGCTGAAAGAAAGTGATAAGAATTTCAGAGCATGAAATGTGAAGGAAAAGTTTGAATGACACGTGACTTCTCAAGGCACCAGGTCAATCCACATGATCCCGCCAAGGGAAAATTAAGCAGGAATCAGATGCACTTGTGCAACTCCAGCTGAAAACGGGGATCCTGATAATAATAATGATGATGATAATAATAATAATAATAGGAAAGAACTCACAGTTCCGGCTCCAGTCCTCATTTTCGCATATCTGCAACTTCTTTTCCCGTGATGTTTATTCTTCTGCCCTGAAGATGGAGGCATCAGAACCCTACGAAATTTAGTACCTACCTACCAAACTACACATCAACATATTCTAGAAGATCGCAATCACCAAGGTCATCACTCACCACCCAGTTCGCCCACCTCCCTTCAGGCATGTTGTCTATCCATTTATGGACGGTTTCGTTGAAGGCGTAAGCATTGGAGTCTTTGTTCAGGTCTGAGATGAGTAGGAAATTGAAGGGGAAGTGGCCACCAGGCCTCTCCTCGGAGCCATAGTAAGCCATCACTTTGTCAATGGGAGCATATGTCTCCAGCATCAGAACCCTGCATGGATCCAAACAGCTACATAAACATATGGTACTAAGAAAATCTCCATTCTTCCTGCAGAGTGTATTTATTTGTTTCCTGCGATTCTCGAGATAAAACCGCTAATCGACATTCCATCATTATTTCAGACTCGTTTATCACCGATAAGAGAGTTGCACATAGGGGTCATCAGAAATCATATGATTGCCTCTTTCTTTTGGGCTTCATATCTCACGCGGAACGTGACTGCTTTCAGAACAGGAAGTTAGTTTCAGTATTTCCCCTGTACGTTTTAACCCGCTGTGTTTCTAATGCAGAAGCTATGTTCTCTGACTTAGGAACTTTAATTCCTAATATTATTTAAATTAATTTTGGAATCTCAATAGTTAGAAAAGCAAAGAAATATACAAGAACCTCTTTTGCAAATTGACCCTCCTAGATTCTTCCTAACTTATCGAAAATTTGTTATGTACTGTCGGCATACCTAAGAGGGAAGGAAGGATGTTGCCTAAAATACTCCACCGCGGCGGCGCGGGTTCGATCCCGTGTCTGGTCCAGTGGGATTTAGGGTGGACAAAGTGGCTCTGGGGCGGGTTTTCTCCGAGTACTTCGCTTTCCCCTGCCAGATCCGAGCTCGAACCCGGGTCGCCGCTTTGGGAAGCCGGCGATTCATTTTAATTTAAACAATGTCTTCAAGAGACCTATGGTTAGAGAATTTACATGGATCGCTGAAGATCCGTGTAAAATACAGACGAAGCATTTAGAGAGAATGAAATAAACAGTGATTTTAGAACATAAAATTATATTTGACGGTGGATATGCAAGTCAATTATTGATATCTCTGAATGAAGCTGATTGTTTCAGGTTTATTGTGATAAAACTGAACTTATGACCTGGTCTGTCCGTCTTCAGCCTTCTTCTCATCCACCAGCTGTCTCCATTGCTGTATCATGTCATAGGTTTTAGGCAGGTTCTGTGTGTAGATATGCGTAAGGTATTGAGATTCACTGGGCAGGGCGTCGGGTTTTCCTGAGAGAGGCTCATCCCGCAGTTCAGGGTCTTCAAACAGATAGGGTACAGCATCAATGCGGAATCCGTCAACACCTCTATCCAACCAGAATCTCAGCACGTTCTGCAACAAAACAGGAGACACTTAATCCGCTGGTATGTGCTGTGNTTAAAATGTACAAATTGTACTCAACGGTCTTTAGATTAGTTAGACAGGGTGTGCTGAGGAGAAAAGAGAATCATATAGATGAGAATGAGATTTTCGGGGCATGTAGCACGCATGCTAGATATGAGAATTGCACCTAATGAAATAAATGAAGGTCAGAGATCGTTTTGAAGACGCATGCGTAGATGAGGAGGTACCATAAAATAAACTAGGCGGAATATAGGCTGTAACATATTGGTCGGTTAGTCCTGCATTCTCACCACGAGGACCCGATTTCAATCTCAGATCAATTTATATGGGTTTATGTTGGGCACAGTGGCACTGGGTCACGATTTTACCCATGTACCTCCGTTTCTCTTGCCTCATTCCACCAAATCAGTTCTCTCATCTGTCATCCGGAACTGGAACAATAGGACATTCACGACATTAGCGCCAGAGATTTCGCCTCATCCCGTCCTTGAAGAATAATCTGATGGGCTCTACTGGATTAACACCAACCCACGTGTTCGTTTCACCGCTTTTCTTCACCAGTTTTAGGAAATGCCCATGAGAAGTGCCCACAGTGTGACAATGGTGCAGATTTGTAACAGCAATGAATAAATAATATGTCTAATGAAATATGAAAAAAGCAAACAGAGCATTTGGAAAATATGTAACTTTAAATCTGCCCTATTCCGCGACATATTTGATTTCGTAGATCTACAATATAAATTAGCCATGCAATTAAACGTGTTATCAACAATATATTTTTAGTAAATGCCCATAAATTGCTCCAATAAAAAAAAGCTCCATGATTTTAGTCCGCAAGCAAACTATACCGACTGACCGACCGCCGTTTTTCGGCGAAATTTAGTGCCAACTTTTGCTGATAGAAAGTGTAGCGTGGTCAGCGCAACGAATCCCCAAGGCAGTTAATTTCAGTTTTCTAGACCGGAGCCGCTATTTCATTTAAATAGCTCCTCAGTTATCATCACGAGGCTGAGTGCACCCCGTTTCAGACCCACTACTTCTCAGAAAAAATGTGGTAGCGCCAGGAATCGAGCCTGGACCTCTGGATCTGTAGCCAGGAACTCTGACCACTAGACCACAGAGGCGGTCATAAATTGCTCCAATAAATATATAAATATATAAGAATGTCAAGAAATCCAGATAGGATTTGCCTAGATGAGAATTGCAGTGTAGTCAAATTTTATGCTACCCTTCCCTCTGAATACTTACTTTCATCTCCTCCACCACGTAAGGACTGTTGTAGTTGAGGTCTGCTTGCTGAACAGCAAAGGCATGCAGGTAGTACTGTTGTCTCTCTGCGCGCCATTCCCACGCAGAACCGCCAAACTCACTGAGCTGAAAGACAGATTCACATGGCGAGAAAACAGACACATCCTGCTGTGTTATGGCATTAAGTTATATGCTAGCAGTCTGCAACGCAATTTTTGATTATGTTAAAATCAGATAAAAATTATTAGGAGATCGATATTTCTTTTTATTGTTGTTATTCCTTACCACACTACTTGTTTCAGTTGTAGAGATCACCACCAGTTCGTTCATAAACTATTACATAATATTGTATAATTGCATAATTGCAATATACGTGTGAGTTTTCGTTTCACCTGTCAAACGTAACAAAAACAAACATCATATAACTCACTTTTTTTTAATTCGCTTAGTGGGGGGGGTAGAGTCCAACTGGGTCCACTCGGCACGGCGGCCACTGATTGGCCTATTGTAGCCTGACTCCGGTGATTATGATGATGCAGAATTTGGGGGAAAGAAGATTGGCAGGGGAAACCGAAGTACTTGGAGAAAACCCACCCCAGCACCACTTTCTCCACCACAAGTCCCACTTGATCAGACCCGGGATCGAAATATAGCTCACTTACATCCCACTGTACATATCTGAGTTTATTTGGTTGTACAGAGTGCAGATATGCACAGTGAAATATGGGTGAGCTATTTGATGTTTGTTTTTGCTCTGTTTGACAGGTAAAACGAAAATTCATTACTGTATAAAGTAAAAGAAGTAAAGTTATCCCTGTAACAGGCCGTGAAGGCCCATAGGGTTGTGAGACGTTGAGGGTCCCATATTATCTAGACAGTCGCTCAAAGATGGCGGTAAGATTGTCTATACTCGTATTTATTTAACACAAAACTGGATGCAATTTTTAATATTTAATTGCAAATTAAATGGTTCCGAAGAGTTTCGTTTTCTAGAATACAACGTAGTATAGCTTGTTGAAATTCAACTGACGTTTCGGAGGAACAGGTCGCATCCATTATCAATTTAAAAAAATAAGTCAAAGATAAAACCTCTTTTTGCTATCTACTTCTTGCTGGTATCTTTCTTGGCTTATTGTTGGATCCTGAATATGAAGACAACCTGTTCCCCCGAAACATTGACTGATTTTCAGGGGATATATGGCTTTGCACCCCAGATGATTCATCAGAACCAAGTCTGTGGGAAGTTCGAACCTCATAAAACCTATCCAATTCTCTCACAGTAAAATATGTCTTAGAATTAATTATTGAAATGTTAAAATCATGTGAACGAATTTGAAATCGGCTGAAGTTTCGTGTATATCGTGGTTTTGTATAATGTGATTATGGTAATTCCCTTTCTGTTCATTCCTATTTGATTTTATTAACATAATTAACGGTTGCTGCCTAGTCAGCCACCTTATAACTTGAGAAATGCAGAAGTTGAATATATTTGTCTTATGACTCCAATGCTTCAGCTTCTACGGTGAGGCTAGTATGGACCGAAACCCTGCGGAAGGATTCTTCTTGAGAAGGGAACATTAGCAGGTACTCAAGAAATTCCACGCCTTTTATGAAACCCGACATTTCATTACCTCTCAGATCAACACAAACTATATGATACAATATGTAAAATATGATAAAATTCATTTCTTTTATTTAAGTTGTGTAAAAATGGTTGTATGGAGATTAATTATGAAAAATACAATGATAACAATGACATTCTGAACATAGTTGATTGCCCCTTTCAAAATATCCGGCCACCGGACCATACCCCAAGCCAGAAAAACCCAGTCCATATATCCAACCATTAAGATATATTTTAACACGATCTTATCATCTGCATCTGTCTCTTCCAGTAAACATCTTATAACGTAGAACCTAAATATCTGTAGAGACATTAATTTGGCAGCAAGTTACATGAATATCCGTTCTTTCTTTCTGAAACTTTTCCAGGGAGTCAGACGTACTGAATCTATATCTGTTTTCTTTTATGAAATGTGATGTAATGGCTTTAGCATCTAAATCAATGGTCTGGATTCGATCACCAGTAGCGGCACTTAAGCTTTCCTATTCAAGAGGAGATGTTTTTTTGTTGCTAATGGGGTGGGACTAAGTCCCTTGTACTGCGGCCACTTCTGGCCTATGGTACCAGCCCCAGATGATAGGTGAGGGTGACTGTGGAGCAATTGGTGGAATGAAGATTGGCAGAGGAAACCGAAGTACTCGGGGAAAACCTGCCCCAGCGACACTTTGTCCACCACAAATCCCACTTGACCAGACCCGGGATCGAACCCGGGCCGCCGCGGTGGGAAGCCAGCGACTAACCGCTTGAGCTATGGCGCGGCCTTTCTGTGGGGTAGGAACAAATTGTTAGGTTTTGTTTACAAAGTAATAATGAACACCTTATGTTGAGGTCTTAGCTTCATTCTGTCCGTCTGTCTGTGACCTAGTATAAACACCTAAACCGTATGATATATATATATATATTCTTTATGAGAGGCTTACTAAATGGCATTGGACAAACCAATTTTCAGCCATACTGATCCATAGCAAAACCTGGTCAACAACACAGGAGCGTAAATTGATATGTTCATGTATTCCATGAACCAATTCGCAGGTACCGTTGAAAGCTGATATGAAAGTATTTCCTTTTCACTAATTTTCATCTCATTAGTTCTGTTTTAAATTGAATTAAAAAGAAACTGAATAACATTATTGTTAATTTCATGTACTACATGAACGGGTGTATTGTTTTCACTAGTATGAAATACTCTTTCTACGAATTTTATGCTTCAAAAGGTTAACATCTTTTTTGTGGCACTTTTTATCTGGTTCAGTATAGAATGTAATGGCGAAAATTTATGTTAGCTACACTGAGAATTAATTTCGTTTATTGATCACCTTGTCAGTTAATTTAATTTGATTTCATTTTTTCATTTGTATGGCTTCTAATCGGAGATGACAGCCAATAATGAGGGGAAAGAGTGATCGTGGCCTGTTTTAATCATTCCTATATTTTGAAAGAGTTTTCTCTCTCAAAAACGCCTGCCTGCTACTTCTGCTTTGGAAACCTTTCGTGTCTTGCATTGTTGACATTTAGGTAGTTATTTTCTTAGCTTTGTTTCCAAATTATAAATTATTAACATATTTATTTTTTAAATAAAACAGCAATGAAAATCTTTAAGTTCCTGTTAGAATGTGTTTTTGGCAATATTTATATAGATAGACTTGAAAGGCTTCTGACGATGGTGTATACTGTACTTCTTTTGGCTTGTTTTGGACTTCATTCATAATCTGGTATGTAAAAGACAAAAGACCACGACGTTTCTGAGACTGGATCTGTCTCCGTCTTCAGGTGGGTGAGGAAGGATAAACCTACCCAGTTGGGTCCGTTAGAAAGAGCTAGTCTCAATCACCACCTGAAGACGGAGACAGATCCAATCTCCGAAACGTCGTGGTCTTTTGTCTTTTACATACCAGACGATGGATGAAGTCCAAAACAAGCCAAAAGAAGTACAATATTTAGATACATCTGAAAACCTAAACAGTTAAAGTGTTGAGAGTCTGCGGGATAAAATTTCTTACTGATCTTTTCAGATAAAGATACGCTAAATTCAGTCCATAGAATCCAGTATTTAAGAGAGATATCTCTTATGCTTTCTCTGATAACACAGGAAAATCAAAAGAAACCTCGGCCAGAAAAGCGTTCTGCTGGACTGCGAATGGAATTGACCGCCATAAACACGAAGAAAGATGATAAGAAACTTCTCTTCGTCAGCTTACCCAGTTGTTTGGCGGGATCCTGTTGCCCTCGGCGTCGTACTTGGGGTCCACCCAGACATAGTACTCAGTATAGGGATCGATCCTCTGGAGTGACTTCACGAACCAATCGCTCTCGTTGCTAGAGTGGTTGGGAACGAAGTCCAGGACGAGTTTTATACCTGCATGACGTGACAACGGAATTGTTATTTACGCGACCCTCTTGGCTTCCAGAGAAACAGTGTAAATAATTATAAGACAGATATCGGAAAGTATTCCTTTGTAAATAGGACCATCGGGCTTTGAAATCACCTACCTGCAGATGATTTAGGGACGCTCCTGTAAATCAAGTAATTTTAGGAAGAAGGTTAGGAAAGTGATAAATAAGGAGACGTGAAGTTATGAGAGAATTCATCCGAAAAGGCAGTGAAGTGAAGTGAAATGAAGTGGGATAAAGGGAAAATCATGGTGAAATATGGGCGCAAGAGAACATTACATTACACATTCCAGTACTAATTACTGTTTAGTGTTTAAGTATACGTATTCTCTTATTAGTATTTATTTACATAATTGCAGTTGTAATTATATTTGTTATAGCTGTAAGTGTATTTGCATTGTATTTACTGTGTGCTAGTGTGTCCTTTGTCGTTTGTGTAGTTTTGTGTGCTGTGTATATTTGTGTGTTGTGTCTTATTGTAGTATCACTGCCACCGGGCAAAATCCCATTTGCAATTTAAATAAATAATAATATGTTACAACGCTCTGTGGTAGATAGAGTGGTTCAATTTGGTCACATTCTGCTAATACGTCTATGTCCGGAATCGCTTTGTTTACGCGCTAGAGCCTCTGAAATGTGGAGGAGAACGCCTTTATCTCTTACCTCTGTAGCTTACTGGTGACATTTACCTAACATTTCTCCAAAAGACCTTACCCGAGGTGCCTTTGAAAGTCGTCGTGAAATGTGGCACCAGCATGGTGGAGGGCCCCCCCCCCCAATTAGTATTTGGATGCAACTTCTGGCTACAGATGGATTGGACGTGGAGGTCCAATAACCTGTCCTCACTCCCCTAACTTGAATCCACTGGATACCTTTCTCTGGGGGTACATGCAAAGCCTGGTGTACGAGACTCCAGTGGAGACACAACATGATCTTGTGGCAAGAATTGCAGTAGCAGCTGGAACCACACGGGAAATGCTGGGAAACTTTCAAAGAGTTCAGTATAACATAGGTAGGCGGTACAGAGAATGCAATAAAGTTGGCAGCCGCCATTCTGAGCAATATTTATAATGTAAAACGGTAACATCACCTAAAATTATGGATCGTCTCGGGTTCTTTGGTGGTCCTTAGTGTCAAAAAGAAGAAAAAAGACATGAGTTTATCAGCAAAATATCAGATTGAACCACTCTATCTATCACAGAACGATGTAACGTTGTTTATTTATACCCTGTAGGGAGTGCCCACACATCCGTAGGCCTGCACACCTGTACAGAGGTTTATGCCTTTCTATTCTGTCATTATATGCGTTTGTTAGCGATCAGAGTTAGTAGTAGTTACGATGAGAACTAGAAGATATGGGGAATCACTTGTTATTCTGTTGTTATGTAAGTTGGTTTGTGAGTCGATAGCAGGAAACCCAGTGGAGACTAGTTGTTAGGAACAGGAACAGGAACAGGAACAGAAGATGGCAGCAGTAAACAGCACTATAAAATACGCTTGAGATATCGGTACTGCAATGCGTTTAGTATCTTCGACTTTATGTTGATCTCAGAATGTGTATACTTGGCACTGAAATGGATTACGTACTGCTTTACTGAGAATGCATATTTCTGAGGATTTCTATTTTTGCAAGCAAAAAATGTTACACGTGCACAGAAATTATTTTGTCAATGGAATTTATGATCATCAGTTTCCAGTTTAAAAGGGCTTTATGCTATTACTGTCATATTTTACTACCTCGCCAATATTCTACTAGGACCTTTTGGCATAAAAGGGGATTTCTGAAGCAGAGAAGACAATAAAGGCGAAAGAAGAAGGTGAAAAATTTAATTGAAGAAGAGAGATATTAGAGAAGAGGATGAGAAAGGAAGAGTAAAGAGAGGAGGAGCTAGTGGAGGAGGAAGAGTAGAATGAGGATGAAGGAAGGGACAGAAAGAGAGGAGGATAATGAGAAATCGAAAAGAATAAAGTTAATAATATAGAGGAGAGATTGAAACGTGAAGGGAATTAGATTAGAAGGATCTAAAAAGGGGAAGGAAAGTGTAGGGAGAAGGAGAAAAGGAGTTACAAGAGGAAATCGAAAGAGTAGATGGAAGGAGAGGAAAGGAATCTACGAAAAGACAACGAAATTTGAAGAGAATGAGACGAAGAAGAAGGTACAGGAAAGGGTGAATACGGGGAGGGAAGGACACCAGCAAAACTCAAGAGCAGGATGGAATCTGAAGGAAATTAAAGAAAATGAAAGTGCAGAAAGGAATTGCAAATGTGTAAGAAAGTAAATAAGAGGATTAGAAAGAGATGAGATGGTAGAGAGGAAGAGAAGGAAACGGTGGAATAAAAGAGATGAAAAAAGTACGGATAAGAAAAACTGGAACTGAGGAAAAGTTAAATAAGCCCTGTTATGAAATATCTGGGGGAACGCGGACTCATATTAAAGAGTCGGACGCCTATCCCTAGAAGTCGGGCCGACTCGTGACGCATAATTTCGCTTCACGACTTCTAATCTGAAAGAGGGACATTATGTGTAGGAAAGAAATAAGGTGAATATGTAGGGTATTAATGTTATTTGCTCAATACTTATACCAAGTTCTTTTGCTCTGTTCTGCAATCTGTTGAAGTCCTCCAGCGTTCCGAAGATAGGATCTACATCAGTGAAGTTCGCGATATCGTATCCGAAGTCAACCATTGGAGATTTGTAGATAGGAGAGAGCCACACAGCTCCTATTCCTGCGTCCTTCAAGTGGCCCAGTTTGTCAGCAATTCCTTTAAGAGCAAAAATAAAAAGAGCAAGCGATATAAATAAATTATTTAGCACCCGTGAGTGAAAAAAGAAAATGTAGAATGACGCTGATAAATACAATATACAGCTTTTTGTTGTTGATGATGATTAACTGACCAGCCGACTCCGAAGATCATAGTCCTTGTTGATAAGTTCATATCCGCTCGCTACTCAGAAAATTACCCACATTTTATGGTGAGCCACATTCACGTTCGGTGGCCGGGTATTCTCCTTTCATTTATCTTTTCGAGGCGTCCGTGTCGTCACTCGTGTACCGTAATCCCATAATTCAATGTACCACGTGATTTCCACTTCCTCCTCCTGGAGGTAGGTCCTTCGTTTGCCAGTGGTTGTCGAGGTAATTGGTGAAATTCTGTTTAGATTGCACGTTCAAAATTCTGTTTGGATTCTCGTTCCAGCCGTTGAGAGCAAGGGACCACCTTGTTGCAACGGGTGTGTCAGGAGCGTTGCAACAATAATTATTTGGGGTTTTATTTTAATTGGGGCACGCGGTAGTGTAGTTGGTTGAGGGATTATGCTACCAGCTGGAAGGTCGCGGGATCGAATCCCAATGAGGTCATTGGATTTTTTCGATTTTCGTAATCCTTCCAGCCGCACTATGGCCCTGGGGTCGACTCAGCCACTAACAGAAATGAGTACCAGGAATATTCTTAGCGGTAAGGGCGGCCGGCGCATAGGGCTGACAACCTTATCGCCATCTATGAGCCAATTGTCTAGAAAATGTGGGAACCTCAACATCTCACAACCATATGGGCCTCCACGGCCTGTTACGGGGATAGCTTTACTTTGTTTTACTTTTATTTTATTAAGTGGCTGGGCTTGTATTGCCCCATTTTGTGTGACTGAGTTTAAAAACTTAATGAGAACAGTCATTGCTTTCCAACGGTTGGGTGAAGTAGGTCGCTGAATTCTGTTTCGTCTGGGACTTCCAAATTGTCTTCGGACCCTTCGCTTCGGCGTAGGTATATTTTTCTTTTATTGTATTTTTGTCTGGACCGATCAAGCTGGTCGAGGGTGTACGTGTAGATTCATAAGAATATTTCAAGTATCAATGTAAAAGTTGGTGTTATTTATTTTTATTGTTGTTATTTTTTATTAACTGTTGTTAAATACTTATTTTAGAGATTCAGCCTTTTCTTACGAATGTTAAGCTTGGAAATTCCGTTCCAACACAGGAGCACTGTGAACAGAACGACAGAACCAGAGACAAAGACAGCGACCGTCCCCCAAACTGTAGGGTAAAGAGGTGAGAAGCTGTTAAATGGAAAACGAAGTTAATTACATTGTTCACAAGACCCCGCCAGTCTACACTATACTCATCAACATCAATTTAATCACGCTGTCACACCTTCACACCTTATTTCTCAGGTTAATTTAATAAAATGATTAATCATGTCATGTTTCAACTTTGATGAATGTAAAATACCCTACTAAAAAGAAACTGCTTTTGTTTTCAGCACAAACTTAGGCTCATAAAATAAGGGGTACAATCGAAAGATACGCATGATACACTCTATGAAGAACTACAGATCTGTTAGTTGATTTGAATACCAATTTGACAGAGAACATATTTCCAAATCAACAATTGGGAACGAGGATTTACACGAAAATTAATAATTATAATGGAGTTAGGAATAGTAAACTTCGACAAATCCGAAAGTCTAATTTTCAAGAGTTGTGGTTTAGTGGTCATAGTTCCTGGCTATAGATCCAGAAGTCCCGGATTCCATTCGCGGCGCTGCCAGATTTGCTGATAAGTAGTGGTCTGGAACAGGTTCCACTCATCCTCGTGAGGATATGTGAAAACCTATTTCAAGGAAATGGCGGTTCCGGTCTAGGAAACAGAGACTAACGGCCGTGGGGATCCGTTACGCTGACCACGTGACACCCTTTATCCGCTAAAGTTAGCACTAACTTTGCCGACAAGCGGCGGTCGCTCAGTGGGTACTACAGACTATAGGCCACGGAGTTTGTTTATTAAGTTTCCACAAAATCGGATTGATCGCATCTTGATAGATTCGAGATATCGTTCAAATATATTCGAAGAGTCTTTTAAGAGTAGCTGCTGCTTATACTTGGTGGTTGCAAAGGAAGAGGCCGTCAGTAAGTAAGCGAGTAATAGAATGTTTTAATATGGAAAGATTCTATCTCAAGAAGCTAAACGATGTGGAAGGAAAAGAAGAGTATGAGGATAAATTCTCAAACGGTTTCGCAGCTTTGGAACACTTTGATGATGATATGAACATCAGTACAGCTTGAGAAAGTGTTAAAGAGTTATCAGTATTTTAGCCAAAGGGAGCCTAGGTTATTAAGAACCTTGCTTTCAGGAATAGCGTTAAAAACTTTTAGATGAAAGGAAGCCCGCTAAATTGGAATAAGCACAAGAGCTGAGCCAAGTGAAGGAAGGGAGTGCGAACAGTGTGAGACGTGAAGCTGAGAAGAGAAAGGGGAGATATCGGAAGGACAAAATTAATGAGCATGAAACAAAAAGTAAGAAAAAGAACTCCAGAGAATAAATGAATTGAAGAAGAGTTACTAGCCTAGAACTTGGGCCGCGCCATAGCTCAAGCGGTTAGTCGTTGGCTTCCCACCGCGGCGGCCCGGGTTCGATCCCGGGTCTGGTCAAGTGGGATTTGTGGTGGACAAAGTGACACTGGGGCAGGTTTTCTCCGAGTACTTCGGTTTCCCCTGCCAATCTTCATTCCACCAATTGCTCCACAATTACCCTCACCTATCATCTGGGGCTGGTACAATAGGCCAGAAGTGGCCGCAGTACAAGAGACTTAGTCCCACCCCACTACCAATTAAAAAAACCGACAGCTTACTGGATTTGAGGCAGTGATTATGAAGTATATGGCCTTTTGGGTTCGGAGGAATATATCACCTCCATCTTCTGGGTCGAAGAATAAGCCAAGCAATAAACTAGCAGAAATAGTAACGTGAAGTAGGTGAAGTGAAGTTGGAAGCTTTGTGGTTATGCAGCAAAAGAAAAAATTTGGACAGGGTTTTCACTGTGTTATGGCGGATTTAGTATTAATATAATAACATTAAAAATGAGGACAGACACGAAGACAAGAATTCCTATGCTTTGGACTAGCTTCGAACCCTGTAGTTTCAAATTCATTACTTTTGGGAGCCAACCTTACCGTTGAGATCTCCGATGCCGTCACCATCACTGTCCTTGAAGGATCGAGGGTACACTTGGTAGAACACGCTGGTCTGCCACCAGTCCAGGGTCTCTTCAGGAATGGCCGCTAGGGCCACCTCGAGTGTGAGAGCCACAACAACCCAAATTCCCTTCATGTCAAGGAGTGTGTTGCTCTAGCATTTTCAGGCCTTTTATATAATCAGCTGCTCCCCTCATGTCTCGCTTTCAGTTTGGCCTTCAACAGCGATAATATTGGCACAACTTGCATATGGGCCGTAAACTTATTAACGGCCAATTTTGCGATGGTGCATGTGACTAAGCTGCCATTGTAATGTGAGCTATGAAAGTTAAGACATAATATGTACAAAGCCTGGACTGAAAGAAGTCAAATGTGTTTCCATAAAATAGAAAATATGTTGCCGTGTATTAAGCATGAGCGTACATGAGCGTACGTATATGTAGTGTGTGCGTGCGTATTTTAAAACGGGTCACTTGATAAGAGACGAGTTATATGTAATTTATAAATACAAATTTTTAGATATAGCTATCATTTGTAGCTGACCATGACTTTGAAAGGCCTATCGTTTCATCAGGGGAGACGCCCCACAACGCCAAAGCTGCAGGCGTCTTGAAAAAGACTAAAATCTGGAAATGACTAAAAAATGGGACGCGACTCCAAAAACTGACTGACTGATGGTCAGTCGTAACGTGACTCTGAATTTTAACATAAAGTGAAATATTACCGCAGGTAAGCTTTCCTAATTTATGATTACCTTGTACCAGAAAGTTGACTTCTGTTTACTTCCCTCGCAGGGGACGAGGACTGTGGAGAAAACTTTAAACTGCGTAGTGCGTAATCTAGTACTGTTATAAAGTAAAGGAGAAGAAGAAAGGAGGAGGGGAATAATAATAGGATGGAGAGATTAAAGGAGTGAGAAAGGAATGGTAAGAAGAGAGGGAATGAGATAAAGATACAGAAAGGATGAAGGGAAAAATGGATGAGGGCTGGAGATAGGTACAAATTAATATTACAATTTAAATTAATAATATACTGTACATAATTGAAGGATAATTTTTGTTGAATTTCGAATTTTTAAGTACAATATACAAGTCTGAATTAACAAGCGCTAAGCAACCACATTTAACTTTCTGAAAGGAGAATATCTGAGGAGAACTAATGACAAATATTCCTTCAAATCCCTGAATTTATATGCCTACAGTGACAATAGGAAGATGAATTGTCTTGGCGCTCAGTTATGTACCATACAATGAAAGCGTGTGAGGAACTGGAGATATGTCTTTAATCACTCTTAACCTCAGCTGAGTGGTCAGCTTCACGGATGCCTAATCCTCGTAGAAAGAACCCAGCGTGCTCATTAGATACAGGATGTTGGATAGGCCCCAGAACAGGTTCGAATACATTGAAATTGGGAAATATGACGATAAACTTCCACCGTAGTCTTAGAAGGTAAAATCCAAATTCATCAATACGCTGAAATCCAAATTCGTTGGCTGGTGATGGTGGGGGTATGTCTCATCTTTCATATTCATGACGTTCCGGATCCAAATTTCGGCCCAAAGATCGTATATTCTGACTGAGGTTTCCGTTGTTTTCCTCAATCACTCAAAGTTTTTCCGGGGGTAGTGGGATACGTAAAATCAGGCCATCACTGCTTCCTTCCACATCCTCTCAGATTCATTATTCACTCATCATTCTCCCATTTGAGACTATATTATGCACTATGAATTCTGACAGAATCGTGAAACAAACTACAAATAAATAAATATATAAATAAATAAGAATGGGCCAATACACCTTTCTACGAGAGGAGGGAACTTGAAACGTTAATTTACGATAAAGGAGCCAGAAGATGGCAAGGCTTCAGCACGTGTCTAGGCAAATGATTAAGCCCAGCTGTTACAGACAGACTGTCATTGTGAATACAGATAGCGTGTTTTTCATCTCCTTTCAGAAACGTAATTACAATGTCTCGTACGCATAAATCAATCAAACATTGAAAACAGATATCTTTTATAACTTAATCGAGCGTCACTTGAGTTAATTTTAAGCTATTGAAATCATGGATCCCACTTGTGTTCGCAAGAGCATCATTTCACTGTCGCTAAACAAGTGTCACTTCGCTAGTGACTAAGCAAATTTTCCACGTGGCGGAAAACGCAAATACAGGTGTATATCTTCCAGCACATCGAATCATAACGTTGTGTGTGTAAGCATATGAGGAACACAAGGCAACACTAGATACACACGACTACGAGGGCAGCACACCCAATGGGACACGAAAACAGCTGCAACATCTAAGATAGGAAAGAAATCATCCTATAAAATCATCCTACAACATCATAATTAAAAAGAGATCAATAATAACAATAACGGCGTGCCTCAATGAATACAATTTGACCCAATGCACAGTGCAGACCCCTTTTAAAGGTGTGTTGTCTGAAGATTTTTTTATTGCTAGTGGGGTGGGACTAAGTCTCTTGTACTGCGGCCACTTCTGGCCAATTGTACCAGCCCCAGATGATAGGTGAGGGTGATTGTGGAGCAATTGGTGGACTGAAGAATGGCAGGGAAAACCGAAGTACTCGGAGAAAACCTGCCCCAGAGGCACCTTGTCCACCACAAATCCCACTTGACCAGACCTAGGATCGAACCCGGGCCGCCGCGGTGGAAAGCCAACGACTAATCGCTTGAGCTATGACGCGGCCCTTGTGCGAAGATGGCCCTGTACGGCTGAAACATTTAGCATAAACACCGAATGTACGTGTACATATATTTTAATAATTTTAATGTCATTTTAAATATTTGACCAACATTCAGTGAATTATAATTTATTCAAAGATGTTGCCAATATGCCAGACTACATAGCTTCGAATGACGAATGGGACGTAGAAGGAAGTGGTCGTGGCCTTATGTGACGTATTATCTTGATATCTGCCTGGAAGAACTGGGTAAGACCAATAAAATAATTCAGCCAAGACAGTCGGTCTCCGGGCCGAGATGAGAAGCCTGGGCCTTTCAATACGAAGCAAATTGCTGCAACTGGACCGCAACATTCCATCATGTTCGCCTCATTCTTCATATTTCGTCACGCCTCTAATTTATACAAGTTGTCTGTATTAAGTATGACACATCGCACAGCAATTTAACAGGCTGGTAGCGCGGTTAGAATTTCGGAACACTGACATCAGCCTTAACAAGCAATTCCGGAGAGAACTCTAACGTCTACTATCTACAGCAGACTTTCAGCGTTAGTAACAGTAATAATGGTCTGTCATAGCTCAAGCGGTTAGTCGCTGGCTTCCCACCGCGGCGGCCCGGGTTCGATCCCGGGTCTGGGCAAGTGGGATTTGTGGTGGACAAAGTGGCGCTGGGGCAGGTTTTCTCCGAGTACTTCGGTTTCCCCTGCCAATCTTCATTCCACCAAATTCTACATCATCGTAAACACCCGGGGCAGGTACAATAGGCCAATCAGTGGCCGCCGTGCCGAGGGAACACAACTGGACTCCACCCCCCACTAAACTAATAAAAAAAAACATTAATAACAATAAGAACTACAAATATGTATACCTTTAATTTTAACTATAACTTTAATTTTCTTATGTAATTGGTATTAATTTATTAGACTTGTTATTAATTTTATGCTATCACTCCCCGTTGTCTTATCTTAGTATCTAGTTGCTAATAGTATTAGCAACATTCATAATAATTCATAATTCATAATGTGTGTATATATTTAAGTCTTCTTTAGATTTATGCTCACAGATTTATTTGTCATATTTGTACAATTTTGTTTAATTATTTTTCTGTACCTTTATATACTCGTGCTAACTTTGTAATTGTGCTGTTAAGTTATTGCACGTAAATAAACATGAATTGAATGAATTGAGTTGAATTACTATTATGGCTAAAATTGTCACTACCACTACTACTACTACTACTACTACTACTACTACTACTATATTATTGCTGCAATTATTATAATCGTTGATGATGATATTGTCACCTGTAGGGTGGTACGCGTGACGAAAATGACGGGTTCTAGTTCAGATGATTGGATTTATTAGCACATTGGTTACAAGTGTTCTCTTAATAACATTTAAATACAGCGTTATTATTGACTTCCACAATTTATGGTTCACCATTCACACGCACTAGGATCCTCAGCCTTCACTGTTTGTCTCCTGGTAACGGAATTAAAACCGTCTCACTGTGGCTAAACGTTCTAATTACACACCAAGTCTTCACAGGCCGAATTCTCACATTCCACCGAGAACTTAGAACTGACGCGTAGTGACGTTCGTATTTAAGAAAACTCCTTTGCACGGATCCCACAGAAAGACGTCTCCCATTGTTGTGGATGAATATTTACAGCTTCGTTGCCTGGCGATAGACTTCCTACAGCTCCGTGCGCCCACCCGGCTCGGACCGCACCGAAAACGCAGTTTCCCTTCTATTGTTGACTGTATTTGTGTTTACAGAGCTGCTGCCTGGCAACCCGTTGATCAAACCCGTTACAACTTTGTTGTATTACCCTCGTCTTGTATTAGCCATTGTTTTACGATACTTTACGTAATTCTAACTGGTCATATGTTCTCGAAAAAAATTGCACTGACTCTGTAGTTTATAATCTTGACTTCCGTCGTGCCTGAAGCTATAAAGCTAGCCATTCCTTACACTTTATAAAAAAAATCTGTTTTTCTGAAGTCTTTCTTTCTAATCCTTAAAATATTACACTGAGATTACATTAATTCTTATGGTTGTAGATTTTTTCTTTAAATATAACATGAGATTTGTATACTAACGTTATAGCAGCTTCGAATATTTATATATAGAAATATTAAATATATCATTTATTAGCCATAAATTTCATTACATCAATTGTGATACTACTACAAATTCTGTTATTGCATTTTTTTTTCTGTGGCGCTACAGCCCCAATTTGGGCCTAGGCCTACCTCCATGAAACTCTCCGTTTCACTTCGGTTTATTAGATCTTACACATTCGGCAGGACTCCTTGGGCGAGTGATCAGCTCGTCGCAAGGCCTCTACCTGTAGACAAACACAGAAAAACGCACACAAACATCCATGGCCTGAGTGGGATTCGAACCCACGATCCCGGCTTCCGAGGGAGCGAAGACAGTGCATTCCTTAGACCAC